ATCACTACATTTAGTGATGATGATGATCTTCGGGAATCTATGCATTTTGAGAATTATTAAGGAATGGTAAAATTATCAGGAAAAACTAGCAAAAAAACTTTTGAATTCTTTAGTAGTAATATTTAGATGATTTTGAATAATTTAAAGTGACTTTTAAAAGGAAATCTCAGCTAACATTAATTTATTTAATTTTTCATAATTTTATTGACCTAATAAATTTTATTTTAACTTTGAATTAATAAAATTTCAAAACTCCAAAAAATCCAAAATTTTAAAACAGCTTTAATTCAAAAGAAAAGTATATCATTACAAACTTTATAGAAAAAAGAACCATATAAAGCTTTAAAAATTACAAAATATCAGCAATAATATACTTTTATTTACAAATTAAATCAAGCATATCACGTGATAATCAGATGCATTTTTCACAACCTAAAAAACAGCAAAATTTCACAGATATAAACAGCTTGTATGGCGCAGTGGTAGCGCAGCAGATTGCAAATCTGTTGGTCCTTAGTTCGATCCTGAGTGCAAGCTGTTTTCTTTTTTTTGCTATTTTTCTGGATTTTTGATGCTTAAACCATAGAATAATAGTATCGGTAGTTGTGGGTTTTTTTTCAGAAAAACTGTAGTTATTTTAAACATTCTTTTCGCCTAAATTTAGAGTATAATTTATGTTTAAAGCTGTGTTTGAAATTTTATTCAAACGTTTTTAAAATTCGCGGATTTTTGATGAAATTTTTATACTGACGGGCTTTAACATATTGATTTAATACTGATAACAAGTTTAAAAAGATTTAGATCTCTTATAAATTTATATTGATTCATTAAAGGTTTACTCCCAGTTATCCATAGACATAATATTCCAATATGGTATGGCCATTCAATAAAAAGGAAGAGTCCAAAGAAGAACCTAAACCAGTTGAATCTTCATCTTCATCAATTCAACAAACAAGAAGATCATCAGCTCCAAGATCAGAACAACCATTATTATTAGAAGATACAGAACCAAGATTCAATAATGGTCCTGCAAACCCAATAAATCCATTAAAACAAGCAGTTGATACAATCAAAGCTGATGATTTTAAACCAACTTCTTTAGTTAAAATACCCTGTTTAAGAGAAGCTTTAATGACTGGGATATCTGCATTAGGTGTCCTGGGGGCAGTTATATTTATTGCACAGAAAAATGCTTCAAAAGCTGTTAATTGGGGTGTTGGTGGGTTTTTATTAGGTAGTACAGTATCATGGGAACAATGTAGAAGTAAAAGAAGAAAAGAACAAGCATTTGCAGCAAAAGCTAGAGAAGTTGTTGCAAATAAAGAAAAACCAATGTTACATAAACGTGATGATGAATTAAAAGAATCTGGAAGTAGAGAAGAGGCAAGAAGTTGGTGGAAACGTTAATGAAGGTAATGAAATATATAGTTTTTGGAAATAATATTTGTAAATAGTTAAAATACGTTAAGAGTATAAATATAATGAGTATTAAACATTGTAGCAATTATATATGGAATCCACCTATCTCTAATAATGGTTAACAAAGTGACAAAATTAAATTTTTAATTGAATTATTCAGATTTGTCACAATCATTTCTATTTTTTCAGACCGTTGGGAAATTGATAAACTGATTCCTAATTGAAATTTTACGATTACTAAAATTACTAAGTACGATAAATTTTCTATTTATCCGGAAAATCAAAATCTTTTATACTGAACAATGCATACGTATAAATAAACACAAAAATCCAAAGTTAAACTTGAATTGAAATGTATAAGATGTCAATACTATATAAATGACAAACAGACCACTTTGGATCATTATCATTTCAATCATAGTCTTAATCATCACATTGTTTAGCTCATTTTTCACAAGACTGTTAGGAGTCAATACAACTACAGCTTCAATTACAAGTACAAAAAACTTAACAACCATGCCATCAGTTACCACATTATTTGATCAAACAAAACCTAAAACTCCTGTGTTTTTTTTCAGTCATGGGGGTCCAACTTTTATGTATCCTGATGAAGAATTTGGTTCAGATAAAGGTGCTTATAAAACTGTTAAAAAATTAGGTCATTATATAATAAATGTTATAAAACCAAAGTTCATTATTGTTATTTCTGCTCATTGGGAATCAAATTCATTTAATTCAGGTGTTGATATTGGTATACCAGGATCCCAATCATCTCTTTCAAAAAATTCTAAAAAATTAGATAAAGATGAAATTGATTTAATTTATGATTTTGGTGGATTCCCAGATTATATGTATGAAGAACAATTCCATTCAAAAGGTAATTTAGAATTAGCTAATGATATTAAAACCACATTAGCCAATAATAAAATTGATTCCAAGCTAACCAAAAGAGGTTTAGATCATGGTGTTTGGGTTCCTTTTAAAGTTGCATTCTCATCAAATAAACCAAAAGATCAAGAATGGGATCTTGAAATGCCATTAGTACAAATTTCATTACCAGGAACTGATGATTTTAATACAAATTATGAATTAGGTAAAGCTTTATCTAAATATAGAGAATTAGGTGGTGTTATAATTTGTTCTGGGATGAGTGTTCATAACTTACGTGATTTTAGAGCAGCTATGGGGAAAGGTTCATCAAGTCCAATGCCATATGTTAAACCATTTTCTGAAAAAGTTAAAAGTATAGTAACTGAATATAATGGAGTGGAAAGATTAAATAAATTTAATGAATTAGTGCAAAATGATAAGAAATTATTATATGATGCACATCCTTCATTAGAACATTTTATGCCTATTGTTGTTGCTTCAGGCGCTGGTGATGAAGAATTAGCAAAACAAGTTTATGATAATCATGTAAAATCTTTAGCTTGGGGTATTTATCAATTTGGTGAATACAAAGAATAATACAACATCTCATATATTTATAAATAGATAGAATAAATAATAAATAATAATAAATAAGTTTTTGTGGTTTTATAAATAATAAATAACAAATGGTATATGAAATCAATTCAATACAATCAAGGCTTCTCATTTAACACCAAGTAAACCTTTCAATTCTTGTTCAATTTGAGATTTATCTAAACCTTTCAACTCTTTTTTAACTTCAATCCCCTTTTCAAAACGTGCATAAACAACAGGATCAACATTTTGTGCTTCTCTAATTAAAATTGGTAATTCTGGATTATACATTTTTATAGTTGGATAAGTTTTTGTCAAGAAGTTTCTATCAGACCATGTTAATATTGTATCCTTAATACCCTTAATATATGGAGATCTTAAAACTCACCTTAAGGGAGTACTACCCTCTGCGACTTGTGATAAATGGAATCTGATTTCCTTAACAGTGTTATTGACAACGAATCTAGTGGACATATTGGTATTTAATCTTTCTAAAGTGTATTGAATTACAAATTAAGAGGTGTAAATGGTGATTGTTCAAATTCAAGTTTATTGTCAATATTATTTGATTCTTTGGGGAAATTTTAAACGGTGGGGTTATAAACCCGGGCTAAAAATGACAGAATTCAAGATTTATAAACAAAAAACTACAAAAAAGGTTGAAAAATTCTCATTTAAATTAAACGAATGTCCATTTATTTATTTCTCTCCTACTTCTTCTATTCTTTTGGTAAACTTGTTTGTGAAATTCCTGCTCCTAATTTCCCTATTTCACTTTCATTCCCTGAAGTATCTTGATCTGAATTCCATTCTGAATGTGATGGATATAATTCTTTTCGTAGTTTTGTAGCTGGTGATCCTTGATCTTCATCATCTTCTTTAAGCTCATGATCTGCTTCCTTTTTTGGTGATGAATTATCAATTTCTTTTGGTGTTGATTTAATATTATTTCTTGATGAAGAACCTGGTAATGGTAAAGAAAATGAATTATCATCAAATGAATCATCAATATTATTAGGTTCTGGTGAAAATTGTCTTGGAGTACTTGAATGTAATACATCATTTGAATTTAATGTTTTTTCAAATGATTTTGTTGATGTTGAATGACTTAATGTTGGATTTGATGTTGAAGATTTAGATTGAATAAATAAACCATTTGTTGTTGATGATAAAGATTGTGGTTTCAATTGTGGTATTGGTCCTATAGTATCATCATCATCATCATCAATATCATCATTGTCATTGTCATTATCTTCATATTGTGGTTCTTCCAATTTATTATCATTATTATCATTATTATCATCATTATCATCATTACCATTATTACTATATCTCCCATTATCATAATCATCATCATCATCTTCATTAGTGAAAGGATCAGGACATCCAGCTAATAATTCATCTAATCCTCCACCAGACCAACCTTTCCTTGCTATACCTTCATAAATTTCCACTTGAGCACGAACTATTGAACCAACTTGTTTTAAGATATTTTGAGAAGTATCTTGGACCAAGTCAAATGAAGATTGATAATAATCATGTTTAACTTTATCAATTTCATCAATATGAGAAGTTAATTGTTGTAATTTTGATCTATATGTAATTAAATTTCTTGTTTTCAATTTTGATAATTTTGAATTTTCATATTCTTGTTTTTTCAATAATGTTATTTTTTCTTTTATATTATTTTTGAAAATTTCATCATTTTTGGAAGTTTTCAATTTAAATTGATTAATTTCTTTTAATATGGGTTCTTCAAATGAATTTTTAACACTATGTGCTAATATTTGTTGATGATTTGCAACAAGAAAATAAAGTCCACTTGCACTTAATAATCCATCTGCAGAATTTCCAGAACCTTTACACTTGGCACCATTCTCCAAGGCAGCACCAAAATTTCCAGCAGCTTCACTCACTTTTAATAAAGCATCTCTATATTCTTTTGAAGTTGATAATATTTCATTATAAGCTTCAGTTGTTTTATTTATATCAGTCTTGGTGACTAAAGTTTGTAAATCTAAAGTTGAAGGAGAAAATGAGTTGAATGAATTCATCGTACTAAAAGAAGGTCTTCTATCAGAACCTGGACCACCTCTTGACCTTGGACTTGGACCATCACCATGACCACCTGTTGTTATGGAATTTGTTGATGATTGTCGACTATGTTCTTTTTTGATTTGACCACCGTTTAAATATGGATAAAACTCTGTCAAGTGCGTGGCTTTGGAGTACCGTGAGGGACTAGTCTGTGTAGACGTTGCACTCTTTGGTGATTGACTTGGAGTGTAACTCATGATATTGATTTGATGGTGTTTATTGATTAATGTCTCAATGCTTAAAATGCTTAAAAACACGCGTTTGAAACAGTTGAAAAGAGGGAAATGGCACTAATTGACGTGTAGAATCCAACAATGATATCCAAAACAAGGATAATTCAATTCTAAACCTCAATAATTTGATATTTCCTTGTAATTTCCTAATTGTTTACTTTATTGATTTTTTTCGTTTCTTGTTGTTTTTTTGAAAGTGATTTAAAAATTCTGATTACGTAATTTTTATTAATTTTTCATGAATTTTTCGTCCAAAAAGAATTTTATTTAGAAGTTTATACTAATAAAATTGGTTTAGTTGGTTATTTTCCAAAGGGTTAAAGATGTTTGGGATAACGAGTATGAACAGGGTTCAATGTGTGAACAGAATAAGTGCTCATGGTGCTTTTGTTGGTGCAAATTCCGGTACAAGATGGGCTAGTTCTAAAATTCAATTTCAAAAAGGTTCAACAATAATTCATAAAGATGTATCACCAACAACTGGACTTCCACCAAAGAATTTAAAAAGAGATGATTCTAGAAAGACATATTTGATAAATAGATATAAAACGTTATTACAAGATAGTCCAATTGTATTATTTGCTCATCATAATAATTTATTAAAAAATGAAGAAAATCAATTAAGATCCACAATAAAAGAATCTGGTGGTGATTTACACATTTTAAGAAATAATTTATTTTTAGCTTATTTAAAAGCTGAAAATGAAGAATATCCTTCAAGTATTGAAGCATATGAACGTACCAAGAAAAATTTCCATCCTTTACAACCTTTCCTCAAAGGTCCAACTTCAATGATTATTATTAAAGAACAAAATCCATCAATCGTGGGTAAAATCATTAAGAATTTAAAAAATGCAAATGAAAAATTATTTATAATTGGTGCCCGTGTGGAAAATAATGTTATGGATTTAACTCAAGTTCAAAAATTCAAAGATTTACCATCAAAAGATCAATTACAATCAGAATTGGCTGGTTTATTAACTATATTGAGTGGTGCTGGTTTAGTTCAAACCTTACAAAGTGCTTCACAACATTTATATTTATCTTTAGAAAGTCATCGTAAGAATATTGATCCATCTGAAAAAACAGATGAAGTTAAGGAAGAATAGATATAGGTTATTCATGTATATAAATTGTAATTAGATATGAAGTTTTATGAATTAACAAATGTAGTTAACAAATAATAAATTAGTATATTGAATTAAACTTTTATATATATACAAAAACAAAAATCTATTGACAAGAAGAATATATCCAATAACTTATGTAAATGAATTCTCTATTTGGTGAATAATTTATCAAAAGCTGGGATTAAAGATTGAGCTAAAGCAAATGAAAAAACTAATTTAGGACCAGTAGTTAATAATTTTGGAGTTAAACCTTTGAAAAAAGCAGAAATACCTTCATTCTTAATTGTATTTTTCAAAATTGTTAAACCAGATTCAGGATTTTCAAAATTTTTATTTTGAATTCTTGTTTTAATAACATCTAATGGAGCACTAACAATAAGGGAAGCTGAAGCACCAAAAATTGAAGAAATAAAATTTTGTGACCAAGTAGCTTGTGAATAATCTTTTAATCCAAGAACATATTCTTTAGCAAATGCATTACCACCAAACAAAGCAAATGAACCTGGTGCATTTCTTGCAGCAGTCCAACCCCAACCTCTATAAAGACCAAAACCTTCATCTTGTAAGATTTTAATAAAACCACGACCTCTAAAAGATTCTGGATTTGTTTGTCTTTTAATTTTCAAGACATCTAATGGTAAAAGGACAACTTCACCAATACCAATTAAAGAACCAGCAGTAGCACTCATTAAAGCTTTACCAGTTTTTGGACCAAAAGTATCATCAAAACTTGATTTGAAATTTTTATTTAAAAATTCATTTGCAAATGGTTGACCACCATATTTATAAACTCTTTGTAAAATTTTATAAACAGCAGCATAACCTAAACCTGGGAATAAAGTAGTTAATCTTGAACCAAATGCCTTTGAAGCATGTTCTCTGAAAACAACTGAATTTAATTGAGATAAATTTGAAACTTTTGTATTATTACTCATTAATCTTTTGGAAACAGTATCAACTGGATGGAAAACACCAATTTCACAGATCCCTGCAGAGGCTGAACCAAGGACTCTTGCGATCCCTGATTGTTTCTTGTCGTTATTAGCTGGTGACATTGTATATACTATAGAAGTCTATTAAAAGTCTATGGTTTTGTTGAATTGTTGGTGAAGTTTTTTGTTAATTTAGTCATAATTTTTCAATTTTTTTTCGAAAACGTTGATTTAATGGAAAAAGATAAGATTGACAGGGGTATAAAACCAGAGATATCTCAACCAATAATAATGTGATTTATATATAAATAACACTATGAGAATCCTGAGACTTATAGGATCATTTTCATATAAATTATAATTTCATAACTCCAATAATTAGTATATTCACTGCATAACCATACAAACCAAAGCACCGTGTTTTCACATTTATGCAATTCTGGATTTCAATTTTAAATTCAAACCAGCGATTTTTTTTTCTTTCTTTCTTTTAAAACAACAACAAAACAATCAAATCACAGAAAACACATCAATTCAATTAGAAACTATTGGATATTATATCGGTCGTTGCTGCTGCTGATACTGACTTACTATTGTGTGTTTTTTCCTTGTGTTTTTACTGTGTTTTTGAAGGATTTTCACTATCTTTTTATAAATTGTGGCAAATTGTTGATATTGATTTGATTCAATTACTTTTTGATACATTTTTAAGCTAATTTTTTATACTTATATACATTCTATAATAAACTGTTCTTTTAAGAACTTATTATTTATTGCTTTTTTGCTAAAATTTGCATCTAAAAGAAAATACCCTTTTTTGCTCTAAAATTCTGATATAATTAATATCATGTCTGAACTTGAAATCATTGGTGAAGATTTCTACAAGGCTTTGGAAGACCTAACGTTTAATTCAAGACCTATTATTCAAACATTAACTATTCTGGCTCAAGAAAATGTTCATGCTGGTCCTTATATAGCGAGAGCTGTAGAGAAAAGAATTGAAAAGGTGAGTTATAATAAAGTTAATACAATGAAAATAAGATACTAACATGTTATATAGGCTATTCCAAATCAAAAATTATATGCATTTTATTTATTAGATTCAATTTCTAAAAATGTTGGTTCTCCTTATACCTTGCTATTTGGTCAAAAATTATTTCAAACATTTACACAAGCTTTTTTATTAGTTGATGATATTAATAGGAAAAAATATATTGATTTATTTAAAACTTGGAAAATTGCTAAAACTTCAAGTGGATTACCTTTATTCCCTCCAGAACCAATTTCTAAAATTGAACAATTCTTAATTAAAGCTAGTTCTTTATATAATCCACCTTCTCAAAGATCAACTCCAACTCCAATACCTCAACAACAATTACCTCAACAACAACAATTTATTCCTCAAATACCACAATTCCAACAACAACAGCCACAAATCACTTCATCAATATTAATTCCAATTGTGGATCATTTATTAAATTTGACTTCTGAAAGACAAAAATTAAATCCAAATGATCAAGATATTATTAAAAAAATTCAAATTATAAATCAATTAAAATTTGCTATACAATCTCAAACTTTAGATCAAAATGCTTTAATTCAATTAAAAACAGATTTAGAATCAATGACAAAATCTGAAGAAACTTTTATAAAGAAAAATTCACCAAAAATTCAAAACCCCAAACCAACTTTACAAAATTTATTAAAACCTTCATCATCTCCATCACCATCACCAATACCTATATTACAAGATTCAAATGGTAAAAACCCTTTAGGTTTATTAAATAATATTGCAAATTTAAAAGCTCCAAAAAAGGATTTATCTTCATTAATTTCAAATTTAGAATCAAAAGGTCTTGTTAAAGATAAAAAAACTAGTACATTACCATCAAATTCCATATTAAAATCATTATTAACTAAAAAAACTACACCTAATACAACCAAAAACCAAGAACCTAATGAAATTTCAAATTTATTAACTCCAATAAATCCATTCAAACAATTTAAATTAGATAATAAATTAAATATAGATCCAACTGATTTATATAATAAATTTTTCATTTCTGAAAAACCAAATAAATGTGGTACTTGTGGTATTCGTTTCCCTCAAACAGAATCTGGTCAAACCCAAAGAAGAAAACATTTAGATTGGCATTTCCGTATAAATAATCGTCTAAAAGAATCAAAAATCGTTCAAGCAAGATCTTGGTATATTGATGATGAAGATTTTGTTCAATTTAGAGATTGGGATATTTTTAATGGTTCAAATTCAAATCAAGATGATTCAACCCAGGATGATAAACCTAAAAAGGAAAAAAAATATGTTATTGTCCCCGAAGGTGGTGATATGAATATAATTTGTGGGATTTGTAAAGATTTTATTAAGGCAAAATTTAATGATGATTTAGGTGAATGGATTTGGGATGATTGTATTGAAAAAAATGGTCGAGTTTTCCATGATTCTTGTTTTGAAGAAAGTACTAATGATAAAAATACTACTACAATAACTGGTCTTACTGGTGGTTTACAAAATTTATTAAATAAAAAAAGAGAAAGACCTTTGGATCAAAATAATGTTGATTTTGGGAAATTGAAAGATATTGTTAAAAATGTTAAATTGAATCCAAAGAATTGATATGATATAAATGATGTAAATATATATAAATTAATGAACAGAGAATTATATTCCAATGATTCTGTAGATTCAATATGAACTCTTTAAAAAAAGAGATTGATATTTATACTTTAATTACACCAATCTTACATAATCTGATGACTTTTTCTGATTTTGATAAAATGAAGAAAATTTCAAAGAACGAACAACGAACAATGTTAAATGTTTTAAATTGTTGGATTTTTTGATTGAGAAAGAATTTCTTTCACCTAGTATATGCTTCAATATGAATTTTTGACATATTTAAATGTTTGACTGGGGCTAAATTGGTAAAAGGATTTCATTTATTGTTCCATTAAAGGTTTGGAACTCTATGTATCTGTGTATCATCAAACTTAGTAATAACTTCTTTTGGTATTTGGTTTGATAAGTAAACTGAGATATCGTACGTTTCAGATTTCTGTTTCCAAACTTCGCTTTGCATTTGGAGTTGATTTACTACTAACAAGATTTAAGTATACTATATTAGTATTCCAATACAAATATGGATAATTTATACTTACAAAATCATATTGATTCATATATATCAGATTGTTTGTATGAGGTTTTCACAAATATCGTCGACAATTTGAATTTAATATATGAACTGTACTTTTAAAAGCTTTTACATGTAGATTAGATTAAATTAGATATAATATAAACTTGTTAAATTAAGAGAATACCTTCAATATTATATTACTGTGATGACAACAAAATTACATAAGCAGACCATTTTTTTCCCTTTAAAAGGTTTCAAAATTGAAGAATTCAACGACTGACAAACTAACCACTTAATATATGAATATTAGACTTTGGCCAACATTCCGGTTTCCTTGATTTGATTCAATGTTGGTTCCTTCGAACCTTCAGTTACCTTCAGTTACCTTAACATTAGAGCAATCAGCAAAATTATCTGAAAGCAATTTTCTCAAGATTTAAGTACACTTTGAAATCTCAATTCAATTGAAGAAAACATGAGTGATTTATACTTAACATTAAATCAACAATATATATATATATTTCAATTATGTTCGTATGAAGTTTTAACAAATATCATCAACTAATTCTTGAATAAATATATGTACAATACTATTTTTGCAGAAAGCTTTAATAAACGTAGATTATACGTCATAAGGTCAAAAATGATTAAGAGTACTGTCATTATTTGAGAGAATTGGATCACCTACCTTATATAATTTTAACCTGCAAATAGAGAGACTATATTTAAAGCGGATCGACAAGCGACTATTCAGGTTTATTCATGCTTTTGTGGCATCAACATTACATTACCAAGTAGGGAATTGTTCAAAAATTACCATTTTAGTAAATATCTTCTCTTATCGTAATTATTAATACACGAAAAAAAGTCTAGGTTTTTCTGAAAAATATTACCATTGTATTAATATGGTAGCATGTGTTGAAATTTTGATCTAAACCTTGTTTTGATGTAAAAATAAAGTATGTCTTTCCAGAAGAGTTATCATAGTTGAATTTTTTTTTGGTATTTTCATAAGTTATGGTATGAGAATTGAGATGATGAACAGATTCTTATATAGTTCTTATGCATATTCTTCAACTATTTGGGATGTTTTTGGTGACAATGGATTAACATATAAGGATTACAAGATTTAAGTGTTATTTAGTATCCCTATGGGAAAATTATACTTACAAATCATATTGACTCACATATAAATCAAATATGTTTGTATGAAGTTTTAACAAATATCATCAAGTACACTTTGAATAAATATATGAGCTATACTATTTTTGCAGAAAGCTAGGTTTAATGTAGATTATGTGAGGGTCAAGAAGGATTGAGCTTAATACTGTTTAAAAGAATTGGATCCTATTGCAGATACATTATAAACCCATGTATATTTAAATGAAGAGATTAACAAGTACAAGCTCATACAATATTACATTGAAATTTGATGACAGCATATTACTAGCAATAACACAGACATTATCAGCAAACGTTCCCTTGTACTGTAAGGCATAAGGATGAGCTGTTTACGTACTTAGAGAGATTTATTAACATTATGTCGATATCTCATTTAGTAAATATCTTCTCAACATTTTTATATATTAATAAAACATATAAAAAAAGTCTAACTTTCTGAATTATACTTAATTTAGTTTAAGTTTCTTCAATATTACCACATTTAGCTCGTGAAATCTTTTGATCTCTTATTTCTGTTAGGTGTTCTTTTTTTTAAGTTTTTGCTCTTATTATATCTTATTAGAGCCAACGTTTAATTTTGGTCATCATGGCTGAACTTGATTTGAATGATATAATTAGTTATAATATTGAAAGTTTTGGTTATACTGGTTGTCATCAATATTTTCAGCTTGCACAAGAAATTTAAGTATTTTTTAAAATATCCTATACATTCAATCATGCAAATGAGAAGAAATGGAATATGATTTATACTAATTAATATATTGACTCACATATAAATCAAATTGTTTGTATGAAGTTTTAACAAATATCATCAACATTTGAAATAATATATGTACTGCTATTTTTAAGAATTCTGTTGTAGTCTTGAGTATATAGTACATTGAGTAATTTATGAGAGGTAATTTGAACATCATTTTATGGAGTACTATAATGTTCTCAACAGGAACATTGATACACTCAATAAAAAGCTCATAAAAATTGAGTGATTAATATCATAAATAAACAGAAAATGCTAAGATATTTTGTAATTTAAAATACAGTTCCCTTCAGCTGAATATTGATAAATTCTTATAATCACATTATATTATATAGAAAAAAAACTATCTTGAATTGAAGTATCAAAAACAATGACATACCCATTAAATTTTCTATACCAAAATATAGATTCATACCTAGAAAATAATCCTTCATCAGACCCAAATCAAAGAGGATTAACAACAAGATATAATTCTCAAAATCCAGGATTCCCATTCCCAATTTTAGAAACTGATGATTTCATTTCAAATGAATTAAATCTTTATAATTTATCACTTACTCATAGAAGAAAATATTTTGATGATTATAGAGATTCATATCTTGATAATATTGATTATCAAAATCATTATGGATTATTACCAAATAATACATATATCCCACAACCATTCATTGGATATATTCAAACTTTTCATTCATATCTAAATAGATTTGGTCATAATTATGACTATCAATTTTCATTAATGTGTCCTCATCATGATGAATTCAATCCAAGAATTCCATGTTTGAAAACATTTGAATATAATCCAGATTCTGAAGAATGTTTCCAAGAATATTTTAATCATTTTAAAAATTTTCATTATGATGGAATTTTCCCTATAAATGAATATCAACATCCATTTTATGAAGGTGTTGTTAAAAATAATGATTATGAATTAATAAGAAATAAATTTTTACCAATTGATTTAAAATTATTTAATCAATCAATTGAATATCTTCAAAGAAGTTGTTTGAATGATTCATTACAACCTTTTTATTTATATGGATATGAAGATGTTTTAAAATTTGATGAATTTATTTGTAATGATGATGAAGAATATGAACTCAATTCAATTATTTATGATGAAAATGAATTTTTAGAAAGTATTGACACTTATAAATATTATTATGATCAACAACCAATAGCTTTTGAATTTGATATATTAGATGAAATAAATAGAAGAAAAAGGAATGAAACTTTACTGGTTCAAAATGCTTCTTCTCAAATATCTGATAATGATGATAATGATGATGATGTATTAGATGATCATAGACCAATAAGAAATTATAGTATGATTCCTAGATATGAGATTCATGATCAAAATGATGGATTGACAGAAATTCATGATGGAATTAATGAATTGTGGGACAATTTCCAAGATTTGCAAGATGAAATAAGATTAATTGAAGCAGTTGATTCAAATGGATATCTATTTGATGACATTGATATAGATTTTTATGCTTTGATTATTAGAACTCTTCGACATGATCATATTCCTGAATTATGGGATTTGATAAACATTGAAGAATTTATTAGGATTATGCAATCAGCAGAAGAGCAAATTAAAATTGAAATATCTAATGATCCAAATTATTTTGAGTTTGGAAATTCTGTCAATAGTGATGACTATTTGTTTAATGAATTTATTGATAAAATAATTAGTGAAATTGAATTAAGCAGATGATTTGAGTATGATGTGTTAAGTTGAGAGCATGAATTTATCCATAATCTAATGGTGATTCTTTTAATGATTGTATAGAAATTCCTGTGTAAATCATGTCTTGAATTAAAAGTTTTATAAGGATAATTACGTCCCAGTAATATATTATATATTCGCGAGCCGAACTAATAAACACACTCAAAATATTCAATACTAAATTAAGACATCAAATCCCAATTAAAATGTTTAAATAATTTGATAATCTTACTCCTTATAAAAATCTCATTCTCATCATGTTTTCAGAAATTCCAGAACTTTTATTATTGTTGAGTTATTCAAGAGTTTATACAAAAATACCCACTCCCTGAATTCGTGATTGTTATTAACAGATGTTCTGGTTTAAAATGATGGGTTTTGTAAGATAACACAAGAACTAAAAGTTTCGGAAATTAATTTCAATACAAAAGTATTTATATTAAATTCAGTGCTATTGGATGACACTGTTAATAACATACCATGTTTTCAAAAAATATTTAGCACTTCAAGTCTTCATGTCAAATCCAAAATGACGAAAACCAAATTCGTTCATTTTCGTCAGTCAAATCGCACCAAAAAAATTCGTTTTTAACGAAATTTTGTTTTTAATAGTACGTACTATAAAGAAGCTTGCTTCCAATTCAATTTGATTTAAAGTATGACCGTCTTTTGACAAGGTGTAATTAAGTTTTGGATAGTAACAGTTTTCCCAAGATGAGTTTATCTTTTAGTGAACCAGAAATGAGCGTATGTACTTACAAAAAAGCTTTGAACAAAGGTAACTTTTGTATCATTCTTTCGGCTGTACAATTGAATTCTTTTTACCTAAGGTGCAATTTCTACCTTTGGGAGAAATTCTGGAAATGATTTCTAATTATTGTCATAGGTAAAACATGTTTCATGCTGTGATTGACTCATGAACTTGATCAGGGGTAAAATATCCCATCACAACATTGAAAACATCACATTTTAACATGTATAACTCATTTTATTGTATTAAAGTTGACTACAATTACTTTATCAATGATGAATAAATATATATGATTTTGATTTCATTTTCTAACTCCATATTATAACGTACGTTCATACATGTTGTTTGGGTTTTCAATAGATCAAAAAATTTGTGAGTCGTTATATTCTGAATACAAATTATATGTGGGATATTGAATTGACTTGGGTAAAATCAGTTCATTTTTGTGTCAAGGTCGCATTATACGTCATGGTTAAGTGGATTACACAAAGATAAAAGTCTATTTTTAGTTCTTTTTATGGTTAAGGTTTTGTTACACCATAGATCTTTTTGTGGTTTTGTGGTTTGTGTTTTGTGACGTTTTAAATATGTGGTTTTTAGTTTTGTGTTTCGAAATTTGGAAATATTAAGTATAAAGTCGTCATATTCCCATTTTTTCTTTATACTTTCTTGTTATAACCTTCTTTCTCCATTTCAATCATTGGTTTCTCATTAGTCTTATGGATTGTTGTTCAGGGTCCAGGGGTTTAATCTCTGCTATATATTTATAGCTCCGGGGATTACCTGATATCATTTGTTATCACTCTGTTATTATTTTGTTTTCTTTGGGATGCAGTGGAATTATATTATTCAAGATAATTTCGTTACTATGTACTGGAGTTTTTGATGTATGACCATACTGAGTGATTTGGATGTGCCGGTCCTTTTTGTGACGTGTGTGTTGTTGATTCACGAAGTCTTCTTTCAGGTTCGAATTACAGATTTTGGTAAGTTTATTTCAGTTAAATTTCTGTTACGTCTTTATTGCAACTCAAGATATAAATCTCCATGATCTCATTAGTCTTATGGATTGTTGTCCAGGGTCCAGGGGTTTAATCTCTGCTATATCTATAGCTCCGGGGATTACCTGATATCATTTGTTCTCACTTTGTTGTTATTTTGTTATTTGTTTTCTCTGGGATGTGGAATTATATTGTCCAAAAGAATTTCGTTACCATGTACTGGAGCTCATGATGTATGACCATACTGAGTGATTTGGGTGTGCCGGCCCTTTTTATGATGTGTGTGTTGTTGATTCATGAAGTCTTCTTTCAGGTTCGAATTACATATTTTGAGTATAAGTTTATTCCAGTTGAATTTCTGTTAAGTGTTTATGATTTGGTTATTGCAATTTAAGATATAAATCTCCATGATATCTAGGACTTATTGATAAATGATAATACTGAGTAATTTGGGAGCGCCGGCCCTTTTTATGATATGTGTGTGTTGTTAAATCATGAAGCCTTTAAATCAAGTTTGAATTAGATATTTTGACAAGTCGTCTGGGATTCCAGTTGAAAAGTTTTGTTACATGTTTATGATATTTCAGGTTTGACAAATCGTGTTGGATTCCAGTTGAATTTTTGTTACATGTTTATGTCTTTTGGTGGTGCAATTCAAGAGATTCAATGTGTACATTGTTTATTGATATGTGACTACATGTGCGCATCATTGATCATAAAGTCTTCAAATAAAGTTTGGATTATTTTGACAAGTCGTATAAAAGATTTCATGGATATTTTGAAATCTACTGTTATGATTCAAGATTAACCAATAGCATCCATCATTTAGTGATCATTTCTTGCTGGTACCTGTGAGAATTTAAAGAAATTTTGCCATATTGGAAATGCTATGATCACAAGCTGCTTAAATGTGAACAAAGCCGACGTCAGAACAAAGTGTCGCCAGGTTAGGTAAAGAATAGTTGAATTTGAGTAACGGATGAACCCCATATGCTATTCTCTAATAGCATGATGTCCATATGAAATGATTCTTTGGGCTTCTTGGAACGTCGTTCAAGCATCATTATGGAGGAGGTTACTTATTAGACATTATGAGGGCCAATGTTCGCTATATGCTATATGTCAATTTTTTTAAAGGGCATATTGTCACCTGCTTCTTAATTTCTTTATTTTAAGATCAGGAGTTTTAAAGGTTGCCAACTTCATGGGGACTGTTATCGTGCTGTATCTTCTGCTTCAGCATTGTCAAGCTCCAGATGAGGGTTATAGGTTTGGGCTGTGGACCATGGTTCAAAAGCCCGTAAATCGTCACCTGCATTCATGTTCTCTTTGTGAGTGAGTCAAGTTCAAGTGGTCATATTGGTCTACTAATAAACTTCGTGTGCTCCTAGATAAAATTATCGCCAGCTTATCATTTGGTTGTTACAGATCAACACCATCTGATTCAATCATAAAGATTAAAGATCATGACAAAATAAAATTGATCCATGTCATACTTATGTATCGGTTGGTTCTCCAGTGATATTAAGAAATTGAGTTAGACTCGTGAGTCATGCTTGATTCAAAGTTACATGGAAACACAAAGCCATAGGTGTATTCTTACAGGGGAGACTCAAAATATCCACACCGGAGGAATTCGCAATGGTGGTAGGAGACTGTATGATAAATGGCTCACGTGTAGAGTCTACACACGATTATATCTGAGAATATAATCTCCAGATTTTTCATTAATAACATGTCAGATGTGTTCTCTTTTCTCTCTCTATATATTAAGAAGCTGTATCATGTTAATGTATAATATACGATTTACGATAGTAATGGTATACACCCCAATTATATATTATAATGCATATAGTTCCTAGGTTCTATCTGTTTATTTATATAATTGTTGATCTGTTGAATGTTCATTTTGATTCACATAGTTTTTTTTCTACCATAGTTAAGCTCATAGTTAAGCCCATAGGAAAACTAATTTACTACCACTGCCAAACCAGGCACTTTAGAGAGCTACAAGAGACGGCAATACCACCAAGCCATACCTCAAGAACAAATATATCCTGCTCTGAACTCGATTAGACCACGGGAATATCATCAGAAGCATTGCTTTATCTCTCTCATAGTTAAGCCCGTAGTTTTTTTTATACCATACTTAAGCTCAGAAAGCCCATAGTTAAGCGAAATCTGAAAATTAATTTATTACAACTGCCAAACCAAGCACTTTAGAGAGCTACAAATAGCGGCAATACCACGAAACCCTACCCAAAGAATACATCTATCCAGGTCCCGTCTTGATTGGCTTACAGAAATATATGAATTGGAATGGTATATTTTTGCCCATAGTTAAGCCCGTAGACGTGTACTAACACAGCTAGATAATGAATCAATTCATCAAGCGTAATGTGTAACGCAATAATGATGTTAGATGTACACATATATGTCACGTATTTCTTTTCAATTGATCAATTATATAATACTACACCAAGCCAATTATATAATATAATCACTTCAGTAATACTACATGATATTGTTTGAAGTCCTGAAGAGCATCTAATGGATCAAAAAAATATTAAAACATGAATTTAATTAGTAGATCACTATAATCACAAATGAATCAAATACTATTAGAATTACATGTTCACCTTTTCAATATCAAAAAGTATTATTCAAGTATCATGATATCTTAAGATGATTAATAATGAAGAATTTGAATATCTTGAATTGTTTTCTGCTGCTTTGTTCATGATATGACTGGCCTGAATAAACCCTTAAATTCACAAAGCAAGCTGCAGTCAATTTAAATTAATTACACCAAAAGAATATTAATCATCTAAAATTCCGATTCACTGATAATGGTGCAGTTTAGTTTCATCTGATTCAAGGTGCATCAAACACCAAATTATACAAACAAAAAAATAGTACGTTTAAATTTTACTTCGCGAGCGATCACCACCTAATAACACACTCAAAATATTCAATACTAATTTAAGACAACATAAACAAGTTAAAATGCTCAAATAACTCAATATTTTTACTCCTTATAAAAATCTCATTCTCACCATGCTTTCAAAAATTTCATGGCTTCTGTTGTTGTTGAGCTATTTCGAAATTTATACAAAAATACCCACCCCCTAAATTCGTGATTGTCGCTAACAGGTATCAAGGCTTAAAATAGTATATTTTATGAGATAACACAAAAATGATAAGTTTTGAGAATTAGCTTCAATATAAAACTATACTCACAAAATTTAATAGAATAGCATAATATCCTTTAAAACATCAAATATGTATAAAAAATATCCAAATGTTTTTTCCCCCATGTCAAAGCCAAAATCAAAAATGCGCAAATTTTGATTTTCGTCAAATCGCCACCACAAAAAAAAAATTGTAATTGAATTTCATGGTTTTCATAAGTACATAGTGGTAACTTATAGAGTGATTCTTTATTGTTCCAATGGATCGTTCTGCTATTGAGTTCGCGGTGTTACCAACTGGAGCTGTACCTACATATTCCATGAGACGTGGATCCATGATATAGCATATATGACCAACGCTATGCTATCTCTTGTGAATATAATTTATTCATTTTATCAAGCATGTTTTATGTTGTGAGCTTATAATCATTAATCATTACATGATTAGGGATTAATTGATATCGAAAACATCAAATTAACAGGTATATGATTCATTTTATTGTATATTAAAGTTGACTACAATTACTTTATCAATAATGAATGAATATACGCGATTCATTTTGATTCAGTGTATTTCATTTGTATACTTAATTTGCTAAAAACCCACCATCAACAAATAAAGAATCACCAGTAACGTAATCACTAGCTTCACTTGATAAAAATACAATTGGACCTTTAAAATCTTCAGGTTTACCCCATTTACCTTGTGGAATTCTTTCCAAGATTTTATTATATTTAGTTTGATCTTCATTTGCATGAGCATGAGCAGTCATATCAGTTATAATGAAACCAGGGACTATAGAATTAACGTTTATACCTTTTGAAGCCCATTCATTTGATAACCCTTGAGTAAGAGATCTAATTGCACCTTTTGAAGCTGTATATGCAATAACTTCTTGACCACCAATAAACGAAAATAAAGAAGCTGTGTTTATAATTTTACCTTTTTGCTTATTTGAAATCCAATATTTACCAAATGATCTTGATAATTTATACACAGAGGTTATATTAACTTGTAAAACCTTTTCCCATGTTTCATCTGTTGAATCTTCAGCTGGACTTTGTTCATTATAAATTCCAGCATTATTTATTAAGACATCAATTTTACCAGTTGAAGATTTTGATAAAGATTGTGTTAATATAGTATCAACTTCTGAATCAATCAGCACATCTGCAATCACAGTAGAGACGTTAACACCTTTGGATTTGACTTGTTCAACAGTTGATGAAGGATCTGTGGATTTTCTATGAACTATAATCAATTCAGCACCAGCTTCTGCTAAACCGATGGCCATTCCTTGTCCAATCCCTCTTGTTGCACCTGTGATGACAACCACTTTACCGGTTAATGAGAATAAAGACATTGTTGTTGATAATTGAGTCAATTGAGTTCCACTAATTGAATGTTGAATTAAATCATGATTAGATATTGATTAGAAAATAAGTTAGAATTTTACCAACTGATTATCGGGTCAATATTTACTGTGGTTCCTTATGGTGTAATTTTATTAATCCGAGCCAATATCGATCGCGTAAAAAAAGATATAAGTAGAAAAAAAAAACGCTAAACCTTTAGCTTTGATGCTTTAATGTTTTGAATTGTAATACCTTGATGCACTAAAGCAAGATTTATGATTTCAACTCTGTTTATTTTGATATGTTGAGCTTTCTAGACCAATATCTTTTACTAAATTTTGCAAAGAAAAGAAAACCTAATGAATTTTGGTGATAAATTGGGTGATATAAAATGTTAAATATTTAATATATTTATAAATGATATATTATAAGCTTTCTGCATGAGCATCATACGTTTTCTTTCCAACAAAACATCTTCAATCATTTTTTCATCTAGAATTCAGTATATTATCTGATTGATCTCGACTGATTTGATAATTCAACATATTCAAATTTAAGAATCAAATGCATGTTAAGAATATAGATCAATCACTTTTCATTATGTATAATCTTATTGTCTGTATGAAGTTTAACAATATCATCGACATTTGATTGAAATACATAATTTTGTTTGTTTTCACATTATAGTTGATGTAGTTTTACATGTTATAGCTACAAAAGTATGATGATTAAAAAAGGATAACTATAACAATTGACTATGAACTATGATCCATGAAAAGTGTTTAGGAAACTTAGGTTATAATGATCAAGCATCAGATTGAAATTCATGAGGTGACAAATGTTTCAATAATCTTTTAGAACAACAAAAATGTGGGCTTTTGGATTGATATGGTAAATTCAGTTGTTTTGTGTCACAATCATGCATATCAAATGTCATACTTGAACAAATAAACCAAAAATAGAATTATTTCTAATTATAACTCTTTTTTATGGAGTTTGTGACACAATCAATCTTTTTGTGGTTTTGTGGTTTTGTGGTTTTGTGTTTTGTGACGTTTTGTGGTTTTTAGTTTTGTGTTTTGAAAATTGGAAAAAAGTATAAAGTCGTTATTTGTCCTTTTTTCTTTCTAACTTTTTGTTTTACCTTCTTCTCCGTTTCAATCATTGGTTTCTCATTACTATTATGGATTGTTGTTCAGGGTCCAGGGGTTTAATCTCTGCTATATATCTATAGCTCCGGGGATTACCTGTTATCATTTGTTTTCACTTTGTTACTTTGTCCTTACTTTGTTATCACTTTGTTTTCTCTGGGATGTGGAATTATATTGTCCAAAAGAATTTCGTTACCATGTACTGGAGCTCATGATGTATGACCATACTGAGTGATTTGGGTGTGCCGGCCCTTTTTATGATGTGTGTGTTGTTGATTCATGAAGTCTTCTTTCAGGTTCGAATTACATCTTTTGGTAAGTTTATTCCAGTTGAATTTCTGTTACGTGTTTATTGCAATCCAAGATTTAAATCTCCATGATCTCATTAGTCTCATGGATTGTTGTCCAGGGTTCAGGGGTTTAATCTCTGCTATATATCTATAGCTCCGGGGATTACCTGATATCATTTGTTTTCACTTTGTTGTTACTTTGTCCTTACTTTGTTATCACTTTGTTTTCTCTGGGATGTGGAATTATATTGTCCAAAAGAATTTCGTTACCATGTACTGGAGCTCTTGATGTATGACTATACTGAGTGATTTGGGTGTGCCGGCCCTTTTTATGATGTGTGTGTTGTTGATTCATGAAGTCTTCTTTCAGGTTCGAATTACATATTTTGAGTACAAATTTATTCCAGTTGAATTTCTGTTAAGTATGTATGATTTGGTTATTGCAATTTAAGATATAAAGCTCCATGATGTCTAGGACTTATTGATGTATGACCATACTGACTGATTTTGGTGTGCCGGCCTTTTTTATGATGTGTGTGTTGTTGATTCATGAAACCTTTAGATCGGGTTTGAGTTAGATATTTTGACTAGTCTTGTGGGATTTCAGTTGAAAAGTTTTGTTACATGTTTTTTATTTAGTTTTGCTGGTGCAATTCAAGATTTGTTTTGATAAACGACCATACTTAGTGATTTGGGAGTGCCGGCCCTTTTCATGACATGTGTGTGTTGTTGATTCATAAATCAATCATAAATCAAGTTTAAATTACATATTTTGACAAAAATTGTGGGATTCAGTTGAATTCCTGTTATGTGTTTATGATATATCACTTTTGTTTGTGCAATTCAAGTTATCTATCTCCCATGTGTTCATGGACTATTGATAGATGATCATACTTGAGTAATTTGGGAGTGATGGCCCTTTTTATGACATGTACGTGTATTACTGATTCAGGAAGTCTTCAAATCAAGTTTGAATTACACATTTTGGAATTGCAGTTGAAGTTTGGTACATGTTTGTTTTTCAATTTTGCTGGTGCAATTCAAGATATCTATACATTGTTTATTTATAAATGACCATACTAAGTGATTAGGGAGTGATGGCTCTTCTAACGAAAGGTATGCGTTGTGAAATCATGAGGTGTTCAAATAAAGTTTGAATTATCATAACAAGTAATAATTTAGTGATAATTTATTGTTGGTGCTGTTGGAATCCAGAGAGGATTTACGGGCTTAAATGTGAATTATACAGACGTCACAACAAGGCGTTACCTAGACAGACAAGTCATATTTGTCTATATTCCCATTTCATACCTATAGGATTGGTCAATTTTATAAAATTATTGTCAGCTTCACTTGGCTGTCACAAATCAACGCCAACAGATCCATCATCCAACTATCAACTTTGTGATTCCACACAAATCGTAGTGGAATCCAAGATACGTGAATAATAATGGTGCTTCTACTTTATCATATGGGCAATGACGGTTGCTTGATAAAATATCTTGAAGTTACCTTTCCAGGCTCTTATTAGATCTTCATTTCATGGGATATTTGAGCCGTTGATGATAGTTCCACAATTTGTGATGGCTAGGGTTATTATATGCAAACATGAATTGTTCGAGTTTGTCATGAAATTGTTATATTCTGATGATTGATGGCGCTCAGGCCACTGATTCTCGTTCCATTTCAGTTGAGAGGAAGTTTGGAATGGGGATAAATTAAAGGATAAGTAAAAAGTTGGGCGGTTAGGATCAATTTATATGCTTCGCGAATTTTGTATATTTTCTTTGAGCCCTGGTGTCCTTGAGCTCATTGAAAAACAAAAAATTTTAAATTCTTTAAAGTTATTTGATACATATCCATGTTTGATAATTAGTTGTGATTTTATTATATTATAGCTAAACTTGTCAGAACTACCAGAATGAGAATCTGAATTATTGACGTTGAAAAATGACGTTTTGTAAATGTATTGAAGGAGCATGATTGTTACCCAATGCTCATTTGGATGATGAGGAATTCTGCAAAATGTGACATTATTTAACATCTATTTAAGCTTAAGGCTACACATGAATGGATCTCTAGTGGTATCCATATGAGTTTCTTAGCTAGCTTATCATATTTTATATATTGATCAATTGGATATTAGTATAAGGTTTAAACCAGACTTTATCAACAATCATTGTCTTAATATATACCTACTTTTTGAATAATTACTACATGACGTAGTTCTCAATTAAAATATCATTATATTCTTCTTTATAATGGAATTGTTTATAAATGATCACACCTTCTTGGTTTTATTTGTTTATAATTATACTTTATAATTGATTGAAATAGCTCGATCAACTTTTTGGAGATAAATCTTGAACTTATAAACGCAATATTATATGATCTCTCTATATATCGAATCTGTATCAGATGCGAGCGCTACTGCTTATTTTCATAAGCCATTTATATAATCCTTAGCTGTACACATCATATATTTCATTTTCAAAAATTACACTTGTTACAGCAATATAATTATCAATCTTGCCGATAGTATTAGTACTACATGTAACCATCTAATAAATCATTTAAAAAAGAATATTGAAACATGTATATTGAATAGTAGACCACTGTAATCACAAATGAATCAAATACTATTCAAACATGTCTTTATGAATATTGATAATCATGATATTTAAGTACTATCGAGAAATACTATCATTGAAATAGAGCATTTGAATATCTTTATCAATACGATAAAATACTGATTCGATCTTTCGAATAATATCAGTGTTATGCTATGCTCCAGATTTGATAGTAGATGAACAGTAACATTGTTTGGGTTGATATATTCTTGAAAGCACTTAATATTGATAACATTATCAAGGGCATGAAATACAGTTGAATCAATTTTATGAGTATGAACCAATAAACATAGAGCTCTTAAGTAAAAGATTGGAAATAGACGAAACCATAAAAGAAGATTCTCAAAAAAAAAAAAGGTTGGTGGGACGTTCAAATTAATTTATATATTTCGCGAATTTTAATATATGTTTCACCGTTTCACCTTCAGGCTTCAATACTTTTTAATTTCTCACCGTCAGCAAGAGCTTTGGTTTTGAGGGCAATTAAGGATTGTTCATATGATGAAGACGCAGTCATTATTTGGATATGTTAAATCGAGAGCTAAACGTCCATCTTGAGCTTATGCATCGGTATATTCATGATTATAGCGCTGACATTGGTCTTATTAAACCCTTTATGGCTCAGTGTGTTATTGATCAAGCTAAAAGCTTATACATGAATATCCCCAATGATATGATATTTTATAAGTCTCATAACTTATCTTTTATATACTTGCAAGAATATTACGTATAAGTTTCAACCATACTTTATCAAATATTCATTGTTTTAATATATACTTGTTACATCATCCTCATTTAAATTTTCAGGACACATTAACGAATAACACAACTCCCTTCACGACGTAGTGTACTTTCATTGTGAATTAAAGCCGGGTTCAATTTATATGATTAGTTAGCTTAATATACTAGAATAAGAACATTTTCTTCAAGAGTTAAAGCTTCGGGATAATATTACAAATTTTGATTCAATTGTAAATTCCTAAAAGCATTGGGTCGATTCAGGCAATATAATATTCAGAAACAGAATATAAAGTTTTAATAGATGAAAATTAAATTCGTTTAAACAATTTAAATTATTTAAGGACCAAATTATTGGTGCAATTTATCAACCAGAAGAAACAACTAAGTCGAATTATTTTTATATCATAGACAAGTCTCAAGCTGATAGATCTAGTTTCTTAGATTTTGATGAAGTATGCCGGCCCTTTCATCTGCAGTGAAGTTAAATAGATTTCTCAAGGTGTTGAATGCAACAGCTTTTGGGACTTCATTAAGAAAAGCAGTATATACAAGATAACTCAAAATTATTAAGTATCTTAATATCCAAGGAAAGTTCGTATACATTTGTTTCAAAATGGTAATAAATCTGATAGGGAAAATAGTGATGGGAAATTTCTTTCGTAGCCCAAGACGTCGCGAACGGTAAAGTAAAAGCAAAAATTTGTTTGAATTTTCTCGGAAAGTTTCCAATTAATGACGTTAGAGAAGGATCATAAAATGATCTGTTGTTAATGAAATAAATGAATACGTGCAAAATTCTAAGCATTGTTGTTGAGAGATTGGATAATAGAGCAAAAGACTTTTTTATCATTAATATTAAGATTATTGATGTCTAAATTATGATCATCTAAAATCAATAAAGAGTCATGCTTTATTCAATATGTTAATTAAAGGGTCTACAGAAATTGAATTCATAATTACTTATTGGAAAAACAGGAGACAATTTTTGTAAAGCAAGAGACGTTTTAGAAATCATACGTAAGTCTTATAGCTCATCATCTATATACTTGCAAGGATATTATAGTATAAGGTTTAAACCAGACTTTATCAATATTCATTGTTTAATTAATATATATCTTAATTTTGAATTGTGGTACTACATGTAATTTATTCAATTTATTCGAAATATATTATACGTCCAATTTTCATATAAATTAATATACAGAGTTTAGTTATACTACAAATATTATCATAAAATTGTCAATATTATAACTAGATCTCTTTAATTATTTGTTTATTAATCAGCTATAATTCGATCATTGCATTTATAACATTTCATTTTCGAAAATTACACTTGTTACAGCAATATAATATCCATATCAATCTTGCAAGTATCAATACTACGTCATGTAACCATCTAATGAATCAAAAAAGAATATCAAGACATGTATATTGAATAGTAGATCATTATAATCACAAATGAAACAAATACCATTAAAACATGTTCAGCCTTTATGAGCTGTATTAATTTCATTCATATATCAAGAGATATTATCATTGAAATGAAAAATTAATTTAACATATTTTTAAAGATTTTTGATCTTGAAACCTTGACCATGCAACTTGAACCAGCGTTTTGAAAACAGTTGTAATGTTTGATAATATTATTTTCAAAGACTTTATGAGATATGCTGGAACAATCTCATTACAAGGCAAAATATCGTTAATTTGCAAATAAATTTGATAGAAAAAAAAGAATTATTCTCAGAAACTTTGCAGACTTTACCAATATTAATTAAAGGAAGATCCTTGAAAAACAAAATTGGACGACGTTTAAATTAATTTATATACTTCGCGAATCTTGATATTCCTTCATAAAAATTTAACCCCTGAACTCCAATATATACTTAAATTTAAGATGTTTATTTTGAAATCACATTGATCCACGGTTCACAAGTTTCTTGAAGTTTGCTACGGAATTAAATTCGTGATATCATAGCGTTCATATTTGCATGGTTTCATTAATCAGTTTATAAAGAGTGTGTGTTTTACATTCTTTGCGTTCGTGTTCTATGCTGTTGCATTTGGTACATCACATTGACACGTTATTATCAAGCTTAAACTTATACATGAATGAATCCCTAGTGATATTCATATAAGTCTCATAGCTTATTATCTATATACTTGCAAGAATATTATAGTATAAGGTTTAAACCAAGCTTTATCAAATATTCATTGTTTTAATATATTTTTACTTTTTTGAACTACATGTAATTTGTAATTGAATCTATCAATTCTTATTTATACATTTGATATACCATCTTTTCTTGTTTATGTTCATTCAATCAACATCCTGGAAATCAATTGAGCTAACCGCTCAATTAATAACTTAAATTAATCTCGCTAACGCTCGATTTATTGACCTAAACATTTTAAAATATCACTCCAAACAGTTTTTGGATTTTGACTAGCATCAACACCACCCCAAATACCAGTTTTTTTATAATAATCCACAATTGGTTCAGTTTGTTTATGATAAGTAACTAATCTTTTAGCTAAAGCATCAGCATTATCATCAGATCTTTGGATTAAAGGTTCACCAGTTTCATCATCTTTCATTTCAGATTTTGGTGGATTGAAAATCTTATGATAAGATCTACCACTTGCTGGATGAACTAAACGACCAGTAATTCTTGCAATTAATAATTCATCATCAATTTTTAATTCAACTGCAGATTGTAATGGTTTTGATTTTTCTTTTAACATTAAATCTAATTTTTCAGCTTGTGGGATAGTTCTTGGGAACCCATCCAAGATGAAACCTTTTGAACATTCAGGATTTGAATCTAATTCAGATTTAATCATATTAACCATAATATCATCAGAAACTAAACCACCTTGATCCATAATTTTTTTAGCTTCAATACCTAATTCAGTTTTTTTAGCAACTTGAGATCTTAACATATCACCAGTAGCTAAATGACAAGCACAAAATTTTTCTTTTAAATTTGGAGCCTGGGTACCTTTACCAGCACCTGGAGGACCTATTAAAACCATTCTAATTGAATTTGGAATGACTGATTTTAAACCAGCTTTTTGTTCTAAAGTGGTGATACGGTCTTGTAATTTATGGACCAAGTCCTTTAATTCATCAACGGAAGACATGATTGATTGTTTTGTTGTTGTTCAATTGGGTTATTGATGTATTGATGGTTTGTTGATATGATGGTTTTTCAATTTTGTTGATTTTTTTATATGAGTTTTTCGATCGCACCAACAAAAAAAAAATTAAAGATTTAATTGGATGAAAATTCGAGATCAATAAAGATCCTTCAATCCTTTGATAATTGTAAGGAAAAGTTATATTATTGTTATTTGGTTAGTTTGTTGGGATTTGGTTTGGATTGAGTGGGAATGAGTGTGTTTATTGGATTCTTTGGGTGGTGTTATGGGTATATCATATTTATGTCTGGGTTATCATGTGGGTATAAAACAATGGAATATTGATGTAAGGTTGATAATGAGTATTGATACTAGTTTAATTGATAAGGTGTATCAATTGAGAGTATATATTGATTAAGTTATTGACATTCATATTATTGTACTTAATTGTACTTTATTCCATTTACTCATTATCCTATTATTTAATACCTTTATCAATTATCAACTGATGCATAAAGTATTCAAACACCACAACAACAACAACAATAAAATAAAATAAACTACACAATACACAACGATATTAATACTAATATAACCATATACCATAACCAAATACAATCTATATAGTTATTCTTTATTGTTTTATATATATTAAAACACACAATTTACCCGGCCCTTCACCAACCATTACATAATCAAATGTAGCTAAATTCCATTTCAAGTTTAAGTAAACAAACATCAAATTTCATATTATTCTCATGAATTGAATTACCACAATTTTAATACTTTTACTATACTTTGAATACTTTTATGGACAGCTGGTATTGATTACATTAGTTATAATTCATAATGGGATTCTTGGAAAGAAAAAATTCTAAAAAAGTGAGTACTTTATGATGTATTATATGATTTGAGGTTTTATCCCCAGATAATATCAGTATCACAATGAATCAATATTAACAGCAATTATAGAATAAAATTCCAGATTTATCAAGATATCAAACACAACCAAAACAAGATTATAATTATCTAAGTACAAATGCAGCAAATCAAGCTATAAGAACTTATTCATTAACTTCAAATCCATATACAAATAATCATGGATCATATGGTATTAATGCTGGATCCAGAACAAATTCATTAAATTCAAGATCATATCAAGGTTTTAGATCAAATTCAATAAATGGTTTGGGGAATTATAGAACTAATTCACTACGATCAAATTCAAATTCACTAAGACAACAGAATGATGGAGATGGAACAACAATAGTTCATACTACAAAGACTTTGGATGAATATGGTAGATTAAAATCTATAACAACTGAAACTATCAAAAAAATGGGATCATTTGAATTAACTAAAACTGAAACAAAGAATTTATCATTACCAAAACATCCTGGTAATAAGAGAACTAATTCAATTGATGGAGGATTAAGTCCACCTATTGTTAAATATGCAGGTAGTATAACAAGTTCACAAGAATTAGAAAGTATTAAAGAAGATGATGAAATTAAATTCCCAGGATTTCATAGAGGATTAAGTGGAATTCAAGAAGGTGAAGATAGTGGTAATGAAAGTGGTGATAGTATATATAGTGATGCATTTGATATAATACCCAAGAATTTACAACAAGATGAAGAGACACTTCAACCTCCTATATCTCCAATATCACCTGAATCAAGTTCTAAACCTTCATCAATTATTAAGACATCAAATTCAAAACCTAAAACAAAGAAAAGAGTTAGTATTGAAGATAATGTATCAATATTATCAAATAATTCACATGTTTCTAAAGGTTCAAAATATAAAGATTATAGTGTTAATTATTGGAATAATGAACCTAAATTAAAGAAAAAGATTAGTGATCAAGAAATGTATGATAAAGCATATCAATTAGCTTTGGGAAAGGTGTATGGAGAGCAACAAGTACCTCCTCCACAACAACAAGCACAACAAATGCCACCGCCACAGATTAAAATCCAACCATATCAAACAAAACAAGAACAAGAACATCCATATAAATCATTACAATCAAAGACTGGATTCAAGAGACATTCAATGAGACAATCAAGCATTCCAAAGAATGAAAAAAATTATAATTATCAATTGAATAATAAATTTGGACAGGAAGAACCACAACAAGAACCACAACCACTACATCATACAATAAAAGACACACCAAGTGAAGAAACAGCAGTTGAAGAACCTCCATCTAAAACTAAAACCACTAAAAAGAAGAAGAAGTTTAATTTATTTAAATTATTCAAGATTAAATAATCACTTATATAATACAATATATAATATAACCGAAATCGGAATCCGTAATAAGTAATTCTTATAAAGTTAAACAACGCGGTAAACAATTTAAGAGGGGATGAACTCCACAATTATTAAGTGGATATTTTATTTTATTAGATTTAATTGATTGTATGGGAATAATAGGACAATAGTATAGATATATGGTATATTATGGTATATTAGTAATTGATTGTTAGTTAATCGTCTCTTTGTATCAGCTGATATGTGTCACAGGAGTCCGATTGGTTTACTTATTAAAATCTTTTATACTCGTTGATTGTTTTATACTCAGATCTTCTTTAGTGGGGAGTAAACTGTGTCTCCCCTCCATAATTAAGCATATATAAACTTTGATATTTCACTTGATACAACAACTATTATATGATCAGTTGGTTACTAGTTCATGGTTAGTTGTTCATAATGCCCTCTCAACGTCGTTATATCTGTTCATTTTGTGCTAGACCATTCTCCAGGTCAGAACATAAATCAAGACATGAAAGATCTCATACCAAGGAAAAACCATTCCATTGTGATCAATGTTCAAGTTGTTTTGTTAGAAGAGATTTATTACAACGTCATTTAAGAACTGTTCATTCTAAAGAGAAATTGATTAAAAAGCAGAAAATTGAATCAATAATACAAGAACAAGCTGATCCAGTTGTTAGTGCTTCAAATATTCATATGGATGATGATATATTCCACTATAATCAAGATTCAATAATAACTATATTAACATTATCTAAAAAATTTCAATCAAAGGAGATCTTGAACTGGGCAACTTGTCAAAATTTCAAACTACCAATAGTTTCCAATAAGTTATTATCATCATTAGATCAACACTTAGATTTATTATATGTTATCAAAGCATTTGGTATTATTGAACATGATCCAAAACAAGCTGATTTTATGTTATCCAAAGCATGGTCAATAATATCAACTATACCACATCCAAGAGATTCAATAACTTCTTTAACAATTATTGCATACTTAATGTTAAACCACAACATAAATTTCATACCAATTGGTATTATAATGAATAAATTAAATGAATCAACTTGTTTCTTGGTTGAAAATGATATGATTTTATTTAATTATTGGATAATTTATGATTTATTAAGTGAATATTCATTCCATTTTAATAAATTACCAATGGGGATTCATGATTTAGTCCTAGAGAAATCATTACCAAATACTAACAATTCATTAAAATTAATTATAAATTCATTTACTAAATCACAAAAAGTTGATATACCACAAGATTCTCAAATATTGATTAATTGTTTAAAGAATGAAATTCAATGTTTGAAATTTAATTCAAAAAGTTTAATGTTTGATAATCATGAAGTTTTACATAATGTGATTATAATGTTTACAAAATCATTTCAATCTAAATCCATAAACCAAGGGACCCAAGGAACACCTATAAATGATTTAATAAATCTTGAAAAAAGATACCTTTTGTTGAATTGTCCCTTAAAATTCCAAGATTTGATTAATGAATACTTAACACCAATAACATCTAAATCATGGGATATATTATATTTGAACTTGTATGAATTTAATAATAATTTTAATCCAATTTCAATAAATCAAATCATCAAGGCATCAAATCATAATGAAAGATTAGAATTAATGCAAAATTATATGGATTCATTAAATTTATCAAAGTTTAATAATAATTTAGGTATTTTGGGTATACCAATAATCTTCCTAAGTAAGATTCAAGATTTTAAACCAAATTTTAAGTATTCAAAAGAATTGATTATTGAATTTTTCTTGATCCTGTTGAAAGTATTCCAATCAACAACAGAGGTTGATAATCCTGTTATACAAAGTCTTGAATATTTGATTAATGAAATAAATCCAAGTTCTGAAAACATTCAAACAAAGATTATAAGATGTTTTGACAAATGGATTGGAAAATTGAAATTATCTTGGGATTTAACAAGTTTGAATCAAACTAATAAAGTGACTAGTCCAATTTCACCAATAAGTTCAATTGAATTATTACCATCTTTATCAACATCCTCAACATCCTCATCCATCTCCTCAACATCATCAATCATGAATGAACAAAATTATAATTTCCAAAAAATGCCAGGTTCAATTAATCAAAATGATGTTTTTAAAAGTTCAAGATTTGATATAGAAATGGGGAAAATTAAATTACCACCTTTAAATATTGGATCAATTGGTTCAATTAATGGAATTAATGGAATTAATCAAGATTTTAATTCAAGGTTTGTTTAAAGTTGTTGGGGTTTTGCTATTTATTTATTTATTATGCATATTCATATTCTATGATTGGTTTATTGTAGTGATTTATATTGTAGTGTTTTTATGATTTGATTGATTTGACTACGTTGAATGTGGATCTGAAAAATCAGGATATATATTTAATGATATTAGATAAAGTTATTTCACCTTATACTGTAATCAAATTTTATATCTATAAGTAAGAACTTAAGCTGGATTAGGTCATTTATAATTTAAGTATATGAATCTTTAATCAACTTCTTCATTCTAAGGTTCTAAAACAGTTATATTCACCAAATCTTTGAACGTTTTTGGGTCATCCTTTTGAAAAACAACTGAACAATCAATATGTGAGAAATATCAATGGCTATCATCATCCATCTTTGTTAAAACCATTTATAAAAGATCCATTACATAACTTTTTAGCTGAGATGATCAAAAACTAAATTATATCAATTTCAAGTTAAAAAAGGATACTTCTAGACTTCATTTCAAGAAGTGTACAATGTGTTAAAGTTTAAGTTTATTTTGAAATTTTTAATTTTTATATAGTGGCAATTCTCGCGAATTTGAAAAAGTATTTAAACAAGAGATGAAGAACGAAATTTCAAATATTATCAATTGTTTAATGAAAAGAATTTAGTTGGTGAAAATAACGTCGTTATAAGTTGTTGGATGTCATTGTAATATGGTGAGATATGTTAGTTACAAAATCTAACGAGATAGTTTTCGTATCATGATGCATAGTTTAATTTTTGTGAACTGGTGTACAACCAGCGTTAATGGTATTGTTATTTGGCCCATTTTTTTTTAAATAACTAAAGGGGGATTCACATCAAAGCTGATCTGATTTTTCAGTTTTAGGTCAAACGTACTTTTGTTACTGATAAATATTAGCTAGCTAATTGAATCATATTATTTAATATTACAGAGAACATGTTTTAATAGTTTTTTGATTCATTTGAAATTATAGTGACCTGCTATTTATACACATGTCTTACCTTCTTTTTCTATGTGATGTAGTTATTATAAGATGGAATATATCTATTATCATTGTCACTTTCCTATATATAAAATCACCACGTTCATTAATATATTCTACATGGTAATACTCTTTGAAAACAGTAGAAGAACATATATTGAAAATACTTGATAAAGTTGATTGAACCTAATACAAAGTATCCTCTATTATATTCATAGTATGTCTATAAAACATGTTAGAATCTTGAGATAATGTTACTTGAAGTTCTTTAAATTCTCTTCAATTAGAACATGTTGATAGAGAATTTTGTTTCAAGTGATTTATAAAAGAAACATTCAAAAGTTACTTTTAGGTACAACCTCCCCCACAATGGCTGAGCTAAAATCTCTCCTGCATCTTGGAAATATTGATATTTGGTAAGAAAACACTTCGGATATTCACATGGCACATGGTGTATAAACCACGATCCACAGCTATGAAAACGTCAAGTATAATTAAACAATTGTTTAAATATCAACGATCATTCGCGTATCAGAACGCGAAAATTTGAACCAATTGGAAAAAATTTGTCCTTCGAAATTTTAAGTATCTCAATTTTAACCTATAATGCAATTATAATTCAGATACACAATATGGATCTGATGAAAATTTTGGTCAACACTATCGAATGCCTTTTTAAATTCTAAGGATATCATGGTTGGTATCCGAAATATTTGCCTTGTAGTTGGTGAATTTAACTATTATAAAGTAAATCGGGAGTTCAAAATTACAGCAGCTGATGATCCTATATCATTAGATGAAAGCTAAATATCTGAAATAGATATGGTTTTATCTTATATATTTGATTTTTCCGGCATATATACCTAAGAGAATATGTTATATTAGTTATTGATTCATTTGTGATTATAGTGATCTACTTTATATACATGTCTTATCTTCCTTTTCATGAATTAGTATTCTGTGTGTCAGTGTAGCTATATAAAGTAAAATAAATCTAAAGCTACTTGTGCATAACTATTTATGTAGCTGTTTAACAGTCTTTAGTACACAGATATCTACATTATTGATAGTAATTTGATGAAAAATCAAGATATATATTCAACAATTAGATATTAGATAAAGTTTTTACACCTTATACCGTTATCAAAATTTAGATCTATATCATGAAAGAGCTTGATAATAATCACATATAATCTATAGCTAGTTATATATCAAGTTCTTTAAATAAACATCACAATAGATGGTCTTATTTCTTAATCACTTAGTGAAGACGTGCATCAGTGATAGAACCGAATACAAAAAAGTTTATTTAATAGAAATTCCTCGACCCTTCAAAAAATTCACAGATATAAGTACCATGATCCATCAGATGGAGAGACTCAATGAAACTTGGTTGATATGAATTTGTATCCTGAATTTTTCATAAGGAAATTTGGTGAACAGGGTAAAAATGCGCGCTCGCGCGCGATCATCATCAATATTATAATGATTGGACGTTCATCGCAATTGTTGATTATACGTGAGAGACACAATTTGATTCTTGGTTCATGATCTGGAAAAAGTATGCTTATTATGTGTGGACAATATCCTATATTTGTTGAGGCTGTCATTTGTGCAATAGCTGCTCTAAGTATTCATTTCGATGGTTAGTTATTATTTGATACATATATTGTTCCATAACGCAACCAACGTCAGTATAGGTATCACTATTTTATCCAAAAGAATATTTCTTTAATATGGCATAATATTATAGACTTATGCAGAACATGTTGTAATGGTATTGATTCATTTGTGATTATAATGATCTGCTTTTATATATACATGTCTTGTTGTTTTTCTCAAGTTATTTTCGTGTAGAGATCTTGAAATCTCAAGATCAGTTACTAGTGGTGACTGGTGACTATACTCGAAATCTGGAATTAATGTCAATCAATATGTCCATAGCTTATATTAACTACTAGTAGTTTTTCGATCTATATATGACAATTGAACTTTTCAAAAAATATAGTAAAGAATATATATTAAATATACTTGATAAAGTTGTTTAAACCTTATACGAAATACACTATATTATATATCTATAATTGATATGGGTGCTTATCATTCATTATACTTTATCCCCAATATATAAATTTGATATTATCACAAGCTGGTTTCAAGTAATGAATAAATATAAGCTCTGTTCTATCATGAGAACAACATAGTTTTTCTCATCATACCCAATTAAGTTGTTTTAAATCACAAATCAATTACTCAAATGCAGAAAGGGAATGCTAGCTGCCTTAATAGTTCTAGAAAAAAATTACCACAATTTGTTTATAATTAGTTGGAAAGACATGTAAAAGTTCAGTGCAAAGAATTTTTTTGAATGAATGCGCGGAAGAAATTTTTCCAAAAAAAAATTATGGATTCTAATTAGAACTAGTACAGCTATATAATAATATTGACCAAGTAGGATTAGTTGTGAAGTCTTTATCCAGGTATTTTGTAATCGCTTTAGTGCATTGTCTATAATGTGAGTTAGGCACAGGTTTATTTCCGTTTCACCCTGAAAGAGCAAGCTACAATGATGAAAATATATCATAATAATCAAACCATCAAACCGTTTTATTGATCAGTTCAAACGAACCAAAAACGATTGATTGAGAAACTTATATGGTTATAGGTATATGATTATTTGATATCATTAATTGCATATACATCTAAAAAACATGTTGTATTGGTGTTTGATTCATTTGTGATTATAGTGATCCACTTTCATATACATGTTTTTAATATCTTCTTTTTTAATATTGTGATGTAGTAAAGCGTTCTAATAAGGTAAGATGGACTATATTTCTTTCAATTGTCACAATTTCCTTATATAGATAAGAATAATATAATTCTACATGGTAAAAATCTTAGCTTGATTAAAACAGTTGAAGAACATATATTAAAGATACCTGACAAAGTTGATTAAACTCTATACGAAATACCCTCTATTATATTCTTATTAAATGGGCTATGGTACTCTATCATATAACCTTAGCTCATATAATAATCTAACGGTAAATAAACCGCATACATAATATTCTCACTTTAATACCATGGTAATGTACATGGTATATATAAATTGATGAAACATAATTTTGATTATCAGATAAAATTGATCAGCTGTAGATCTAAACAATCAAGCTATGACTCATTAATGGCTTATGTGTGAATGGTTTTTCAGAAAACAATCCAATTCTAATTGATGATGATGTCTATCGATTAGAGATGTTCTTTTGCTCTTGGTCCTCTATTTTTGGCCCGCAAATTTTCAGATTACATAATAATTTACATAAGCTCCATAACTTCAATCGCACCAAATGAGTTTAATTATTAGCTCTAATGGTTTCTAAGGAAATACAAGCGTTTAATTCGATCGGAAAAATCGTATAATAGTCTTATTTCTTATAAAATACAGACAGAACTCTTGGTGAGGACCAAATTTTGGTCCTGCGGACCAAGGACCAGGGGACCACGGACCAGAAATTTGTGAAATATAGAGGTCCAGCACATCTCTACTATCGATCACTTGATTTATACCTGATCTATAAAGACAATTCTATACAAACAAGAAAATTAAGACAATTCCAAAGATATTTATATAATCATAATTGAGTTCAAAAGAAAAGGTTAAAGTTGACGACGTAATTTAAAATTAAAAGTAAGTTTAATCATAAGTTAATTCTAGTATTATAATCCATATCGCATGCATCATGATGATGATAAATTTTACCCGGTCATATCACGATTCACATGAAGAAAGTTAAAAGTTGTGGTGACATTATAATATAATAATTAGTATAATGTCGATTATATCAAGTTGAATTTTTCATTACCAATGAACCCAAATCATGCAGTTTCCTTATGTTAAAGACCCAAAAAGTTTTTTTTAAATGATAGTTGTTGTGTTTTTGCTTAGCTTGATTCAAACGGTACTTCATTTCAATCGTGAAGTATCAATCTTGCCAATTATTGAACTCGT